TTTTTTTTTTTTTTTTTTTCTCCCTCTCGAACATCGAAAGGCTGCTCACTCGGCTTATCTCGTCGTTAGAACGACTTTAGATTTGAAATTCATTCAACTCTGAATCTCGATTATCCTGACGAATCGATGTCAATAATGAAGAAGAATCCACGTCGGTCGAGAATCTCCATCGTTTAATAAAGAAAATCTAAAGAGGTCGTTTGATAAAGAGTCGAAGTGAACGTAAGTAATTTATCATTTAATGCGAATCAGAGAAGATCTTGCACGGTTCACTGCTGTGTCTGTAAAAATGATACAGACAAGTTGAATTGTACTCGATTGTACGGCTAATACAGTGGTTTTTTCTATTGGCCCGCCTAAGCATCTGTCTCTCGCGACACATAATTCAAAATTATTATTCAAAATTTTTGACTAAAATTTTCCAAACTTCTCGAAATTTTAATATCAAGAATGTTTGACGCGAAGGCAGTCTAAAAGCCAATTAACTTCAAGCTCTAAACAGGCTACCAAAGAACATGACCGTGGAAGGAAGAAAAACTAGAAAGTTAAATTTTTATTACGTATTAGCGAATACATAGCGCAAACAACGTGATAGCACACCGTGTAGTTGACTTTTCAGAATATTTTCGAATTACACACCGTATGTGTGACGCATAATAAAAAGAACAGATCTAATTAATGTGGAATGGCATTTCAGAAATAATAAAGAAACACGAGATCATTATTTCAGGTTCAGTAATAAAAATTAGAAGATAATCCATAAATAAATTTTAAGAAAACTGGAAAATTTTCCTCCAACGATACTTGTTTGTGATAATCGTTGGAACACACGCCGGGATTACTTTCACGAGCAAATTCACCACTTCACTAATAACTAACAATTCAATAACTAACAATTCAATTGTTTAAAGAAGCTCGAGGTGCATCGCGTTCATTTATCTACCCAGATAATATTTTTTAAATATTTATAGCCCGATTTGGGATATCAGAAACGGTAGATCGATTTTGTCTCTTCCCCGGAGAGGAAACACCCCGGCGAGACGTACCGATCTCGCGTTGTATGAACTGCAGCTATAAATTACACGGGGAAAAACCGGGGAACAGAGAGATGTTCTCGAAAGCAAACAACCACGAACGCAGAGAGAGAGAGAGTGAAGGATCGAAATCACCAAGGTTCGGCAAAGAGAACAACTCTTGTCGGGGGCAAGAAAATCCGTACGCGGAGGAAGGAACAGTGGATCGGTTGTTCGAGAAGGCAGTAACTCTCTGGCTTATTCACGCCAGACACGCGTGCAGCAATAGTCTCGTATTACAAAATTGCTGGATGAAGTTGCCCAGCAGTAAGTTCACCGTCCGTCAACGTTAATCGGAGCAACACGCGTGTTCGATCGAGCCGCGCGGCACATAATTATTGCACGGCTCGATGAAACGTCGCTGCATGGCATGGGTTTTCAGCATTCCTCGAATAACGCACGTTTAAACGCACGCACGTACACCGCGATAAACTCGTACAAATCGCGTTACACCACACAACGACGCACTTTGATATCAATCGTATTTCAGTTGATTAACTTCGACGACGTTGACGTGTCGTTCGTCTCTTTGTCGTCGAAATTACCCTTTTTTTGCAGTCTCTTTTTCATTGGCGTGTTATTCGAATGTCT